TAATAAGGTAGCAGCCGAATAAATGCTTGGCATTGCACAGTGTTAGACGTATTTAATCCAGGTGTAAATTGTTATTAACTAATAAAAAAAGTGTTGAAAACTCCATACAGTTTGACTCATTTTACGCACTAAAAAGAGGAGTACCTGCTTGGTATAGTTCAAAATATTTTTTGTTCGCTTAAAGTTAAATTTAAAGTAAGCTTCAAAAGAACGGAACTCTTCCCAGCCCTCTTTCTCATTAACTTTTATTACCGTGGCCAGACGTACTGATTTTAGTAGTACAGTACGGATTTTTCAACTCACGTTCTGCTTTCGTTCATTTCTTTAACCAGTACGCCAATGTCCTGATTTTTCAATTTTTTTTACTGATTTGTACTGTATTTTAATTTGTGAGCATACAAATTTGTAATAGCGGTCTTCCCACCGTACTTAGTGCTCGGTAAGTCGGTTTTTGGTGATTGTTTCCCATGTATTTAGTTTGTGTAATGTCATCTTACACAAACAAAATAATTTAGTTTTTTTTAAGCTTTTTACACAACATTGGAAATTCGTTAAACGGGTATTGTAAAAAGTAAGAAGAAAATAATTATAGTTGACATGTTTCAGGTAATGTTTGATATATGCAAACAATTGATACAACAAATCGTTTTAGGGGCATATCGCCGAGGCGTAACCTACCATTTGCGATTAAATCATNACTGATTTGTACTGTATTTTAATTTGTGAGCATACAAATTTGTAATAGCGGTCTTCCCACCGTACTTAGTACTCGGTAAGTCGGTTTTTGGTGATTGTTTCCCATGTATTTAGTTTGTGTAATGTTATCTTACACAAACAAAATAATTTAGTTTTTTTTTTTAACCTTTTTACACAACATTGGAAATTCGTAAAACGGGTATTGTAAAAAGTAAGAAGAAAATAATTATAGTTGACATGTTTCAGGTAATGTTTGATATATGCAAACAATTGATACAACAATTTTTTAGGGGCATATCGCCGAGGCGTAACCTACCATTTGCGATTAAATCATGGACTATAAACTATTTAACCTTCATAAGATTTTCAGAATTACTGACGATAAAGTTCATTGGTTCAAATTTGACCCATGCAGTAAAATTCTGTTATCGAAAATGATTTAACTTACTACTAAAGTGTGATATTAATTGTTTATTTATTTTCGATACAACTACTAAGTAAAGCTTATAATTTTATAAATATTTATTTAAAATTTTGTCGATTTTATAAAACTGGTGCAAGGAAAATACACCTACATATGTACTTATGTATGTATGTAAGCGAAATAAATAAAAAATAATAATGATATCTAATACGAGTTTGAAATCAATTTAAATTCAGGTCAAATTCGAAATTAAATCAAGTATTTAATTGCTACATTAGTTACTTAAAACAATCGTTTACAATGGTGATTACATACAAACTTTTTGCAAGTAATTAGGACATACCTAATCCTAATCCCACGTTATCTGGATCCCTCCGATATGGATGAAGTAGAGAAAATTGTGCTAATTGGTAACACTTTTAGTTTTGTGGGTGTTGGTTGATTTTGGAACAAAAAATTACACAGAAGATAGTATAAGGATCAAGAGTTGATCGTATTTGCATCAATACCAATACCAATATACATTAATCATTTTGATTTTTTTTATAACAAATGTCAGCGTTTAGAAAACATTCTCGTTCCAACCAATATGTATTAGCAGATGCGACTTTTAATTGAATTATCAGATAGCATATTCTGTGTTATCTTTACTTTCCGAACAAGATTTTTCCTTATTTAATACATTTAAATACTACTAGCCTTTATTTTTCTCTAAGATATTTGCATCACGCATTTTATTCCTGCCGAGTTTACTTTACTAGTATAACAACATTGCACTAAACCTGAAAGAAGTATTTGCATATAGTTCGATAATATTTTACGTTTACATGCAAATCAATAAGCGGATCCCCGATATAATCAAAGTGGAAGATCGACCTAACTCGGTAGCCAGTTCGAAAACGTTCTACCTAAGAAAACTTTTCAAGAACACCCTATTTCTGAATTTGGTTTGAAAAAGACCTATCTCAGCTGCCGATTCGAAAACGCCCTGTATAAGCATATTTACAAAGTATTTTCATTTGAGATAGGGCGTTCTTGAAAAATTTTCTGAGATAGAGCGTTTTCGAACTGACTGTCGATATAGGTAGATCTTCCATTAGGATGCCGATTTATAAAGAGCAATAAGAGGGAAAGAGGCAAATTAACTGGTGCCAAAGGAACAGAAAAGCGTCGATATCATTATTGAGCAAAATATTACCCTCGGCCATACAAAAAACTGGGTTATTTATAATGGATCAAATTTGACCCGGAGATCTTATGTGTGAAAAAAATTATAATTAGAAATATAATAAATATATAAGACATAGATTATAAGTATCACTTTAGTTTCCAAATGGTATAAATGTAATATAATATCAAAAGTAATGACTCCTAATATTCTGAGGAAAAATGGTTTTCTTCCTGAAATGGGTCAAATTTGGCTCAAAGACCATATGAAGATTGTAAAGACGGCTGACATTTATTGTCGAGTTATGTTAGTTATCTCGGAAATATGTTTAGTAACAGCAAATTTACAAATATGCCTACAGCATATAATTATTTTTTCTCAATTTACTGACATTTTAAAAAGTTTTGCATACAAGACTTCGAGCCAGTTGAAAAAAGTAATCCATGAAGAAACACGAATGAAGTGTTTAAATAGCGGTTCGTTTACACAGTTTGAAAAAATATGTAATTTTTTCAATACTACATATATTCAAACGATGCAACTGAGAGGCAAATTTGCCAATTGTGAATGCCCTCTGTGAGTGTATATCCTTCTAATAATAATTATAATAGATTGGCGCTTACACATATGTTAGTATTTGGCCGAGCTTCTCCCCCAATTTGTGGCGTGCGCCTTGATGTTGTCACACAAAGCGGAGGGACCTACAGTTTTACGCCGACTCCGAACGGCGATTGTATTTTTATGAGAAGCGGTTTTTCATGGCAGAAATACACTTGGAGGCTGATAAGAAAAAACCTTTTTTATAAATTTGCGTTGTTGCTTTGACCAGAGATTGAACCCAGGCGTTGCGGAGTGGAAGCGCGCACTGCTTACCACTACACCGCAGCGGTCGCCGTTGCATATCTTTCTAACCGAGGCTAATCCATACAGTCAGTATAAAGTCTGTCAAACCATTTACCACCCCGGATGAAGCCGTGGATGTTCGATATTTTCACCTCCGCACGTTTGAGATACATACGTAAGTAGATGGTAGTATTAGGCATAAATTTTGATTATTGATTTTGAGTTCCTTAAATTTCAAACAAGGATCCGTGAAGTGAGAAATATTTAAATGAAAAAAAGTTGCACAAAAAACAGATATGTCATTTATGAGCTGTTCAACCGAAAGCGTAACCGCAGTGCCTTACAATTAGGCCAGCTTCATACAACAAATATTTAAGGCAATAATTCAGATGGTATTGCCCACTGCATTCTAGAAAAGGGCTTATGCAAGTGCTTTTTACTTATTTTATTCTACTAGTTACATACATATATACATAAAGTCGTACTTTTTTACAAAAGTATCAATATGTATTTTTTTCATGTAGTCGATAGCAGCGACTTCACTTCACTGAACGGTTGAAGATCCTTGATTAACATTGATGAAACAGCTTGATCTATTTCACTTTTACGTCGACTTTTATTGTCATAGCTGTATATATGTATGTACACTGAGAAAATGCTGCAGGTAAAACGCAAAAAAAAAAGAAATTATAAAGAAAAAATTTTGATGACAATAACATTTTAAACAAAACTAAAACTTATATATTTGCATCCACATTATATTTTTAACACAAGGCTCGAATGTTTTAAAAGTAGACTAACATGTAATTTTTATCATATCAAAACGGATTGTAATACTTCACAGATGAAAAGGACAATGTAAGAGCCCCAGTTGTAGTCTGCCAGTTACGTTTTGAAGCCAGAAATAATGAGCAGCGCCACAGGTGCTCCCACAGTTTGCCTGTATTGCCAATAGATTTACTTTTTTTTAACAAATCGCTTAAATCCAGACGTAGTTTTTCATTTCTCGTTTTTTGGCGATATGAGAGCTACCAATTCATCACTACCATACCGATGGTATCGCCGATCATTTTCCACCTCTACTTTCCAAATATTCACGTAAATTATTATTTTATTTCCCCTGTACATTGATTGGCTCTCCTAAACTGGCCATAGGTCTTTGGAAATGCTTAGAATTAGTTTTTAATTTAAAATGCCTTCGATTCGGTAGTTAGTTAAATGAGCAAAATGAGCGTCTAACCAAGTAAGTATGTATGTAGTTGCAAAGTGTTAGAGTACCGAAAATATGTATGAATGTATTTAAATATATACCTAATAATTTACATACATGCATACATATGTATATATGTACATGTACATATGTACATACATACCTGACCCTACATGACGAATAAGTGGTAAAAGCAACAAGCTGAGTAATTAACCTAAAATCGGCTGATCTGCGACGAACGCTTCGGAACAGATTGGTGCAAGCAGAGCGCCGAAATTTGGCCAAAAAACACCCGCTGCCACAGCTACAGGGAGTTTACTAAGCAAAACGGCAACAACAATAATACGAGTAGCTACAAGAAATCTATCATCGAAACGGAAAGCGTAGAAGTGCAACCATTCAGCATATTTGTTGCGGATGCTGTGGATTCGTTTGCGGTTGGTGGCATGGCGGGCGGTGACTTCATGTTGAACACGGTGAAATGCCGTAATGATGATGTACTCTTGTCATGTTCATCAGCAACATGACGATATTGTTTCTTAGCTATAAAAGAAGTGCACTGCGCCACAGTTCATCAGTTCAAAGCAAAGCTTCAAGCAAATCAAACAACTTCAGTCACAACAACCACAACTATCCCCAAGAAAACCCTAAGCAACGAAATGCGTGGATTCATTGTAAGCATTTATTCAGACGATTACTTAAAGGAGCTCATCTCATTTCGTCAAGCAATAATTTTAATAATTCTCTTTTTACGCCCGCAGGTTTTGTGCTTGTCCGCCGTGGCCGTCGCCGCGCCGCAAGGCTACAACTATAACCAAGGTTCCGCTGGTGGTAGCTCCGGCGCTGCTGGTCTCATCTCTCAGGGACAGGGTTCTTATACACAGTTTGGCCAGTCTTCCGGCGCAGGCGGTGCTTTCTTCCAAGGCGGAAATGTAGCTGCTGGTGGCGGTGGCGGTGCCGGTTTCTTCAGTCACGGTGGTGGCGCTGTGGCGCAACAACAACAAGCCATCATTTCGAAACGTTTCTTCATCCACACTGCGCCCGAAGAAAACGATGAACAATACCAGGAGAAACACATCACCATCGGTGCACCACGCAAGAACTACAATGTTGTGTTCATCAAATCGCCACACCGCTCGCACAAGAAGGCTTCGATCAAGATCACGCCCGCCACCAACGAGGAGAAGACTGTCATCTATGTGCTCAACAAGAAGACCGACGGCACCGAAATCGATGCCCAAGTGCTGGAACAGCCCTCAGTCACCACCAAGCCCGAAGTTTTCTTCATCAAGTACAAGACCGCCGAGGAAGCCCAACATGCCCAACAGGAAATCCAAGCGCAATACGATGCGCTCGGCGGCAGCAGCCAGGTCACCGACGAGGGAGTCGCTCCAGTCAGCTCTGTTATTGGGTCTTTGGGCGGCGGCGATGCTGCTGGAGCTGGTGCAAGCGCTGGCGCAGGTGCTGGCGTTGGTTTCGGTGCTGGTATTGGCGGCGGTATCATCGGCGGACATGGCGCTAGCAATGCTTACTTGCCACCCAATTTCAAATAAGCTGAGATAGTTGTTGTTTTGTTGATTAGTTAGCACTGTTTTTGTTATGTTCGTAGTTGTCATTAGCTTTGCGTTTGTACTCTATACTACGTAAGGAATTGTTAAATTTGATTTTCTTTTATTACGCTTTGCGTTGTGAAGACTTTTTGTTTGTCATTGCGAAGCTAAGAAATAAAGAAATTTTTGTAAATATTAAAACTAAAAATTTCTTGCAAATCACTCCCGTTGCGTTGCGCACCAGTAAGTAGTGACCCAATCGCGCAACAAATAATAGTTTTAGCCATCTGTGTGTTTCACACAGTATTACCACAGCACACATTAGCCTCGAGCGGCAGCTTTGACCGCCTCCAACTCAACACTCAGTTGGTTAGCTTTATTTGAGCTGTTGTTGTTGGATGCTCTCTCCCCTTCACTACCGTTTTCCTTAGCTGTTTTTTATTTGTCTTCGCATGCAACGCGCACGTCAATCATCCGCGGTCAGTTATATGAGCAACAAACAAGAAAAAAAAACACCCATGTTAACAATGCACCATATGTGCTCAGCTTTTTCCCTTTTCACTTTTTTCTTTCACAGCTAAGTGAAGAAAAAAATTAATTATTTGTTACGAAAAGCAATAATGACAGCTTAAAATTAATTTATTATTTTGCAGCGCAACAAAATGTGTGCTGAGGTCAGCCGGTACCAATAGGGGATTATAATTTCTTCGACAACTAAGCAAAATACTTGCTTGGAGCATACAATAGCGATTACAAGTGGGTTACAGTAAAAAAAAAGACTAGTTGTTTTGTGCTTTTCACATCTTATTGTGGTTAACATAGACGCTGAAGTCTCTATTGCAAGACAACTAAAAATTGGGACACTGGGTAGGTAGGTAAGTAGTAGAGGTTTGCATAAGTGGTTTTGAAAGGGCGTTCAAAATATTTGCTTATGCTTGCTCTGCTTCCCTTCCTCACAGCTTTCAAACACTGCCGGAGCACAGTGAGTCCGAAATCCAAAAGTAATCTTGCTGTGCACTGTAGGGCGCCTCTTCGCACTCATGGCAACTCTAGAAGGTTCTCATCTAATGTTCTAGTTCCCGGGTATCCGAGTATTTTACAATCTGAGTATACTGGTAATGACCCGGTAAACGGTTCAAATGTGAAGGACATTTTAATAGAGACATATGTATATTTCAGCAGAGCTGCCACCCGGTTTGAAATTAAAATGTTTTGATGAAATAGTTGTGGATGCTGTATTCAATAAAATATATTTTTTTTACAATTTTTATCAAAGTATACATATTTTTACAGAGTTGCCAAGCGTAAAAAAAATTAAAGATATTTAAGATAATTTAATTTAGCTGTATATTTTAGTAGAGTTNAATTGATCGAAATTCAAGAACTTTCGACATTTCGACGTAGTTAATCGTTCTAAAGAAATGATATATAATTATTAAAAAGTATGAGCACAATTTCGAAAAATTTCTACGTTAACCAATTCAAGCGCTGAGTAAGAAAGAATATTTTCAATTGTAAATGGTGTTTCATATAAAAAGGGGAACAAATTATCTGGTGAAATGTTAAATAGCACCAAAAAATCATATCGTCATTTAAAGTTACCTTAATATTATAGAAAATAGTTTGTTCAAAATCTCACTGAAGCTAATTTATGAATGTAGTAGATGTTTTTAAATTATTTTATACCCTGGGTTCAACCCCCCGGGCAAAGCAACATCGCAAAAAAATGTAGAAAAAAGGTTTTTTCTTAACAGCGGTCGCCCTTCGGCAGGCAATTGCAAACCTCCGAGTGTATTCCTGCCATGAAAAACAGCTTCTCATAAAAATACAATCGCCGCTCGGAGTCGGCGTAAAACTGCAGGTCCCTCCGCTTTGTGTGACAACATCAAAGCGCACGCCACAAATTGGAGGAGAAGCTCGGCCAAACACTGACATGTGTAAGCGCCAATCTATTATTATTATTATTATTTTTATAATTATTATTATTATTTTTATTATTATTATTATTATTATTATTATTATTATTATTTTTATTATATATACCAACATCACTTAAAACTGGTTATTGGGCATTTAATTTTTATGAGCTGCTAAAGGCTTCAAAATACCGAACAACCAATACTGGACAAATTCAGGAGATTAAAAGAAATACTAGTAATATTTTTCGTTTTTGCAAATTGATAAACAGCTTCCCTGAAGATGACGCGGAAACCCATCGAAAGGCGGAGGAGAAAAAATAAACTTCGTTTTTATTTTCAAACACCGGCCGAAAAGCTCCAAATGCAAATACACAAATAAATTTACTCCATTAGTCCAAGAAAAAAGAATCAAGAAATACAGAACATTTGGCGTCCCGTATAAAATAAATCAATTTCCAGGACAATAGACGAAAAGACAGGACAGGTCTCCGTGAATTTACTATAACATATCGTGAGAGAGTAATTTTCACAATGCAAAAACCCACATGCACATTTCAATTNTATTATTATTATTTTTATTATTATTATTATTATTATTATTATTATTATTATTTTTATTATATATACCAACATCACTTAAAACTGGTTATTGGGCATTTAATTTTTATGAGCTGCTAAAGGCTTCAAAATACCGAACAACCAATACTGGACAAATTCAGGAGATTAAAAGAAATACTAGTAATATTTTTTGTTTTTGCAAATTGATAAACAGCTTCCCTGAAGATGACGCGGAAACGCATCGAAAGACGGAGGAGAAAAAATAAACTTCGTTTTTATTTTCAAACACCGGCCGAAAAGCTCCAAATGCAAATACACAAATAAATTTACTCCATTAGTCCAAGAAAAAAGAATCAAGAAATACAGAACATTTGGCGTCCCGTATAAAATAAATCAATTTCCAGGACAATAGACGAAAAGACAGGACAGGTCTCCGTGAATTTACTATAACATATCGTGAGAGAGTAATTTTCACAATGCAAAAACCCACATGCACATTTCAATTCTTTCCCCCATCGTCGTCATCCTACACCAATAACATATTATATGCATATACATACATACGTTATTGAGGTCAAACGCAAATCAAAGTTACAGGTTACATGTATCGAATTTCACTAAGTTGTTTGGTATACCCTAATATAAATATGTACATATAAGAGTATGTATGTACATATAAAGTTTACGCGTGTACGCGTTTGAAGAAAAACGTATTATATTTATGAGTGTACACTGAAGGGAAAAAATATTAAAATCAATCAGAAACGTAGTTGATTTTACCATATCCGGTACGGCATAGATAAATCTGGTAGCCTCATTGAGAAAAACCAGATGCTTACACTTTTGATAGATATCTTTGCAAATAGTTCAATATTAGTNAAAATCAATCAGAAACGTAGTTGATTTTACCATATCCGGTACGGCATAGATAAATCTGGTAGCCTCATTGAGAAAAAACAGATGCTTACACTTTTGATAGATATCTTTGCAAATAGTTCAATATTAGTTGAAAAATCATCTAACTCTGCAAAAGAAACATACTGACTTTGCATTGATTTAAGCCAAATTAATTTTAAAATAGTTGAAATCAAATGGAAAGTCGGACAATCAACATGCTGCTTGCACACAATTCAAACTGAACATTTGAAAGCGCACTTACATGTTGTGCCTGTAGCTGAGTGAGCAAAGTTGCATGCTATAAGTAGTTGCGACCAAGAGTGTCCAGGTTCAAATCTCATTAGGCGGAACATTTAATTTTAAGCCAAATTAACTTTAAAGTAGTTGAAATCAAATGTAGAGTCAGATAATTGACTGATGCCTAGGCCATCCGTACCCGGTACGGAAAGAAACACCACAACTACATAGTTGAATATCTGACTTTCTTCCTTCGAACGAACTATTGGCTTTGACATGGCGATATCCTAGGCATCAGACAGTTATCCGTCTCTGAATTTAATTTCAACTACTTTAAAATGCATGTGGCTTAAGGCACTTCAAATTCAGAATGCTTCTTTTGCAGATGTCTTTTCATGTTGAAGTAGTTAATTGCCCACAGTTAGATGATTTTTCTACCAATATTGAATTATTCGCAAAGATATGTTTCAAAAGTGTAAGCATTTGGTTTAGCCCAATTAGGCTGCTAGGTAATTATACAACAATTTGAAGTTCGTTGCTACATAAGTAGAAATAAATAAATTTTTCTGAGGTAATCCGTTGAGCTAACTATACCGTACTGGGTATGTACACTAATATATATATACTCAGATGTGGACATTCAAAAACGTGCGTGCTAAATTTTGGTATGAAAATATTATTTTTAAATACGAACAATTTTAAATGATTATCAAAAATAAAGTATTAATTTTTACTATGCATTATTTCCCTCAGTGTGGGCATGAGAAAACAGTTGAAACTATGACTTTCTAAAGTTCATTAATTTTTACCAACTGGTTTTGCCAACGGCCTATTTAATTAAATAACTTTCTTAATTAGCTATAATTATTTCCGCTTAATGGTATCATGAAGTGCCAATGATTGCCAATTTTGGAGGATATATTGCTATTACATATTTACAATGTAAATTGCGCGTACAATTTATATCCATAGTAGATACATATAAATATATCAACCGTTTGTTGGAAAAGCACAACCACAAATTTTATTTAGGTAAGTTTAGTTAGTTATACCGAAATGGCAGCCCGTCTTTCGCATACAGGTTTTTTGACGTAGAAAACGTCTTACGATTCGATATGGACGCTATGCTCAAATGTTGTAGTTGTAATTTTTAGAGCTTCACGAAAACGTTTATTGCACGAGAACTAGAGAAGCGATTTCAAAGAAAAGTATGGCGTTTCAAAGATAAAATTCCAGACCTATCGACGGATACATTTCTCTAGGCAATCGATTCGATGTCTGTCTAAGAAACAATGGAAAATATTGGCTTATTTTTTTGTATTTTTTGAGCCTTTATGGCGCTCTAGCAACTTATGATTTGCAGGTATGACTTTGACTTAGGTTCTTTGGAGTAATAAAAATATTATTGTGTACAAATTTTATATAAGTTCAACAAACATCAGTGATCTTAGAGCAAACATTTTTTTTTGGAAAAATTTGCATTTGTTTATTACCAAAATTCTCAAAAACCGCTCGAATATGTTTTATTTTTATATTTTTTTGTTTTAAATCAAAAATTCAGGTGTTTTCCCTTCGTTTGGTATANGGCAAACATTTTTTTTTGGAAAAATTTGCATTTGTTTATTACCAAAATTCTCAAAAACCGCTCGAATATGTTTTATTTTTATTTTTTTTTGTTTTAAATCAAAAATTCAGGTGTTTTCCCTTCGTTTGGTATATGGGAAGTATTGGTTGATATCTTCCAAGTATGTTTATTTGATTCAAATATATGGGCATAAATGAGTTTCCATACAAAATCACTTAGTCATCATTTTGCAAACACGTGCATGCGATGAAAGTGAGCGAAGGAGACACAAAGAATGTGTGTGTCAGTATTTCGGATTTTGTGTAACAGATGGCGCAATATTTATAGCCTAATCACAGCGTATGTATGTAAATATATTCATACGTACCAATGTTGATTGCAATTAGTGTAGATCTGTATTTCTTTTAGTAATCTATGTATGTACTTCATATGACATTGGCACATCTCAGGAAAATTGCTTTACTATTTCGATTACGTTAAATTTTCTGTAAAGCCGAAGAAATTATCCCTTTCTGTTTACGATTATTAACAATTTTCCATAACAAAGAGTCATTATCCCCACTATTTAGTTATGTAGCTATTTTCCACGATAAATAATTACGCTTGAGGCAATTAACAGTGGAGCCCACAAATTAAACTGTCGACAACCAATCAAAACAATTTAAAATCCAATCAATTTCACTCATTCCAGCACCGTTCTAACAGTGTCCTGCGCTCAGCAACTAAATATTGCAATTTTTAATTTGAAATTCGATTTGTTTACGCCGTCGTTCTGTAGCAAACAAAACAAGTAATTATCACATCAAATGTGACAATTAATTATTCGATAATTGTCTGTATTTAGCAACATTCAATTCAAAATTTGTCCACAGTACGTGCGATGGTAACAAAACGTATTCGCGCATAGCAAACAAATAAATAATAGAAAGTAAAAGTACTTGCAGTTAACACAAACAAAACTCTAGCGACACAGGCACAAACTGTCTAAAGTGGCCATAGGTGATTCCCCTCTTTTAGTGCCGTTACGCGTCTCATAAACAGCAATGCCTGAAGATTTATTTAGGATACAACGCAATTGTCTGCGCCTAATGGGCCACCAAGACATCAGCGACAACAACGACTTGCCGCCCAGAGCAGAGCAAAAATCAAGACACTCGCTTTGCACTCGCCAATGTCAAATAATGAAGCATGCATTGTTGTTGCTCTTTATGATATCGGCACAATGGCCAATGATGGATTACATTATCTATCACATCGACGATTTACCGCTGGCGACGGCTTGTCTCAGCATCCTCTTCACCAATGTGCTGACGGTCATTAAGACCTCAACTTTTCTGGCCTACAAGCATGAATTTAATCAGCTTATGTTGGAGTTTGAGATGATGTACGATGAATGTGAGTATTTAGTTGGTGTAGCACAAGTAGACGCAGCTGTAATTAGAGTTACATACATGAATTTTACTTTTGACTTTTCTGCAGTGCACGAAGCGGACGCCAAGCGATTGTTAGTGGCGGCCAATGTCGGCGCAAAACGATTTGTCAAACTGTACTTTTATAGTGTCTCATGCACGGGTGTGTATTTCACAATCAATCCGCTGGTCGGCATGATTTGGGACAAGTTGCAGGGTAAATCGGTATTGCTGGAGCTACCGATGCCAATGAGGTACATATGTATACATATATAAAGAAAGATGGGATTGAATTTTTGAAACTATTGTTAGACGTAGACACTTATACAATTTAGACATATCGTTCAGATTTGGGGGATGCGTAGCTCTAAATTTTGAAAAAAACCCGAATTACAAAACCGCTGATAGACTTCTGAAATGCAGCCGATTTTTGATTCGGTCACAGGATTATAGCGGAATTTATTAGATACTTATGAATAGATCTGCTGACTAAAATCTCACCGTAATCCACCCGCTTCTTAGCATTTGGAGAACGAGAGTCCTCATACACGAATCGATGCCCATGAGATGTGTCGACATAGCACGGCACAGCATAGTACGATTATCGTACCAACCCAACCGCCCTCGGGGAAATGCCAGATATGATTTTAAGAGAGTACGAAAATATCTTAAAATACATAAAAAATCGTTTACTTCTTTTGACCTGATTGCATAATCGCCTGACGGTTATGACCATTTGGTCCCTAACTCCATTTAATTCTCCCCGCATCTACGCGCCAATTACTCGTACAATTAATACCATTCTTCTATTTTTCTCAGATTTCGCTTTGATTTCGAATCGACGCCAGGCTATCAACTCGCCTACGCCTATACGATTCTTATCACCATTGTAGTGGTGATTCATGCAACATCTGTGGACGGTCTGTTTGTTTCCTTCACCACAAATATGCGCGGCCATTTTCAAGCTTTGCAACATTTCATAGAGACAAATACATTCGACAAATCTGATGCGCTTCTACAGCAGGAACTTCGCGCCTATGTTCAGTACCATGTGCGACTGCTGTCGCTGGCCAAAAGCGTACAACGCATATTCAAGCCAATAATTTTCGGACAATTTCTGATGACCTCGCTGGAAGTTTGTGTCATCATTTATCAGCTGGTAACGGTGCGTTTGTCATATGGTTTTAATGCCAATTCGCTTCTATGTAACTTCTTTCTTTTTGCGCTCCTTTTTTATTCTATTTCCTTCCTCCTTTTCTATTTGCAGCACATGGGCGTTTTCATGGAAATGGTCGTTTATTGTACTTTTCTAAGCTCAATTTTGATGCAGTTGCTGATTTACTGTTACGGCGCTGAGTTTCTGAAAATTGAGGTACAAATTTTCCTTTTAATATATTTGAGAATCTATTCATTGCGCCAATATTAAATTCCGGAATTTATTATGCTTGTTCGCCATCGTTTGCAGAGCTCGGCCGTCGGTACGGCTGTCCAAATGTCGCAGTGGTATAATTTACCGCCTCGCCATCGTCATGTCCTGCGGCTCATTTTGCTTCGTTCGCAGCGTGAGATCATCATTAGGGCGGGCTTCTACGAGGCATCGCTGGCCAATTTTATGAGCGTAAGTTGTAGTTAGAAATATTTATGTGGCTTATGCACGTAATTTTGTGGTGCAGTTAGTGGATAATAAATATTTTATCTGCAGATTTTGAAGGCCGCCATGTCTTACATCACTTTCATACAGTCCATTGAGTAGCGCGAAAATTGGAAGCAGTTGAAATGTTCAGCACTAAACGAAAAACGCTACAATGTATACTTTATAAGGCTATTTATGTTAGGCAATTTAGATTTTTTCTTTTGCGAATTAGTTTTTGAAGAATATCTACTACAAAGATATTATAATTACACTAATGTAATTTCGCGCTATTTAGAAAGAATGTAAAAATAAAGTTAAAAATTATTAATTTATATCTTGAACATGATGTACCCGTAGTTGCGTATGTAATGTATACGCTCCGCAGCACCATGCACATTCATATAACATGTTAACTTGCTCGCCTTAATTTAAAAGTCATATTACACATTTAAAAGCGTGCCTATAAAAACTGCAAGTTTGGCAATAAAAATTGTAAAAATGGAATTTTAGTTTCTCAATGTAATATTTTTTTTTTCATTTGGCAAAAGGAAGATTTTCACCGTTAAGTTTTAAAATTTGGAAGTACCTTAAATTATTAAAATTAAAGCATCGTAACTTTAAACAAGTAAGAAAGTCTAAGTTCGGGCGGAGCCGAACATTAAATACCCGGCGCAAGTATTAAATATATGTTTTTTCACCCTTCCGAAACCTTCCGCTAGATGGTAAGCCGAGGTGTATCAATTTTGAGTAAATTAGCGTCCTTCAATTTCGAAATATTGAAGTTTCAAGCATTTCTTAAATTTACCGTTATATGAGAATCGGCCGTTATTTTAGTCCGATTTCAATAATTTTCAACGTTTTGCTTACACGTGGCAAGTACAATAACCATACCGAGTTTGGTACAAATTGGTAGAACGGTTACCGATATACTTATATGTGATCATAAGTGGGCGGTGCCACGCCCATTTTCCAAAATTTTACCATAAACGTATTTCTTGGTAAAGAATTGTTGCAAGCATCAATTTTGAATAAATTAGCTTCAATATTTAATGATTTATCGAAGATTTTGTATTTCTCTAAATTACCGTTATATGGGATGTGGGCGTGGTTATTGTCCGATTTTAAAAAGTTTCGGCGGTTTTTTATGCTGTACCAAGGCCAACAACTGTGCCAAGTTTGGAAGAAATTGGTGCAGCGGTTACCAAGATATACACATGTAACCATAAGTGGGCGTGGCTACGCCCATTTTCCAAAAATTTATAATATTCTTATTTTTCGTCTAAAAATTATTGTAAATATCAATTTTGAGTGAATTATCTTCAGTAGTTACTAAAATATCGCAGTTTTCGTATTTCTGGAAATTACCGTTATATGGGAAGTGGGCGTGGTTAAAGTCCGATTTCGCCCATTTTCAATACCAACCTACCTTGGATTAAGGGAAACCTACATACCAAATTTCGTTGAGATATCTCAATTTTTGCTCGAGTTATCGTGTACACGGACAGACGGACAGACGGACAGACGGACAGACGGACGGACAGACAGACATGGCTTAATCGATTTCTTTTTTCATCCTGATCATTTATGTATACATTTGTCTATATCTATCTCGATTCGTTTTGGCTGTTACAAACAACCGTTATGTGAACAAAATTAATATACCCTTGTGCACAAGTGCGCTCGGGTATAAAAAAGGCTACAAATTTGCTGCGACGATATTGTGCATAACATAACATAATGTAACATAACATAACATACCATAACATAACATAGCATAGCATAGCATACCGTACGATAACATAACATGCCGTAACATAACATAACATACATAACATAACATAGTATAAAATAACAGAGACTAGGATAAGATAACAACATAAAATAGTACAACATAGTATACCATATCACAACATAGCATAGAATAACAAAGCATTGAATAACATAGCATAGGATAACATAACATGCCGTAACATAACATAACATACATAACATAACATACCATTTCATTACATACAATAAGTTATTGTTAATAACATAACATATCTCATCCTTCAGTTGTATTTCCCTATATCTCTATCACTTTCTCTTTCTCTATTTTGACCTCTATAGCCCTTTTGTTTATCTCTATATTATATATATACATATATTTATCTTTATATTTTCGTTTTCATCTTTCCTGATCTTTATCTTCATGCGTTTCTTAATTTACATATTCACCCCCAACATTCCAATTATATTAAGTATTTAAATTTGCCTTCCTCTTTGTCTATATCTTTAGGTTTCTTTACCTTTATATTATACTATATTCTTTGCCTTTATGCCTTTATTTTTCTACATACTTAACTTTACCTACTTTTTTGTATGAACCATAATCTATACAAATATTATTCCTAAACTGCTGCTTTGCAATTTGTGCTTAATTCAAAATCAATATTAAAGCATACATTTAGGAGGCATTTCCGCCCAACCATGTACATGTATGGTATTTGGATTAGTGTCACTTTCAAATTGATTTTTGATCTTTATTTCAAACTGTTTTGAAATTTGAGTAACTCTCTGCGCATCAGCATCAAAATACCTTTCTAATGATATATAATTTTTTACACCTTAGAAGTATAGCTTAGCCGTAGAACGGGTGTAAAGAAAACATGTTTGCCTATTTATATATAAGATATATATATGTACGTAATTTGGCTACTTTCAATTGAACGTCTGAAAGATTGCTTAGTCTATCCTTATGGTAGGACTCTATACCAAGTAATTTCGTCATTATTATAAATACTTATACTTAAAACTTATAGCTGAATAAAGTGCTGAAAGTGTGAAAAGCAGTGTGAATTCTTTAAGCCATTTACTATCTTACAGCCTTGTCGCTAAATTGGTTGCATTGTGTAAATGCATACAGCACAAAAATTAAGCCGCACCTGCGACGACAACGTCATAACGACCAAATATTTTGAATGTAATATCGATTTAACAGTAGCGTCAGAAGATTGTGAACACATACATATGAAATATAATAAGTACTCATAGAACAAACTAAAAAAAACTTGTCAGTGCACTGAGGATTAGGAAAAGGGACGCCTGAGTGCTTAATAAAATTATGAAAAACTTACATCAATAAAATTTAAATTTAGCATGGAAACTGAAGCAAGAAAAATCGCCAGAGGAAGCGAAATAAGTTGTAGCCTGGAATCAGAGTCTGTTGTGGCAGATAATAGTAAAACATTGAATGAAATTGTTGATGAAAGCAGCCTAAGTACAAGAGACGAACTGCATGGGGTTGATAAGGAGGAAAATGTGACGAAAGAAGAAGAAGAAGAAGCAGAAAAAGAAGAAGGAATAATAATTGAAAAGAGATCAGAAGAAGAAGAACAACAAGAGAATGAAGAAGAAGAAACAGAAGTAAAAGGAGTGAAAGAAAAAGAAGAAGAAGCAGAAGAAGAAGAAAAAAGAGAGGAAGAAGAAAGCGTGGAAGAAGAAACCCAAACTGAAGTATTAAAGGAAGAAAAAGAAGAAGCAGCGGGAGAAGAGGGAGAACAGGAAGAAAATAAGGGAAATAAAAAAGAAAAGGAAGAAGAAGATAAACAGGAAGAAGAAGAATATAAGGAAGAAGAAGAAATACATTCCGAAGAAATAAAAGAAGGAGCAGATGAAAATGTAGGAAAACCAGATAAAGCCGCAGGAGTAGAGGAACATATAAAACAAGAAAATGGTGGGCAAAAAATAAAACCAGAATTAATAAAAAAAGAAGAAGAAGTTGAAAATGAGTCGGGAGAAGAGGAAGAACAAGAGAAACAAAAAGAAGAAGACAAGGAAGGCGAAGGAGAGAAAGAAAACGGAGAAGAAAATGAATGTCGGAAAGTCAAAGAATTACTGAAAGAAGAAGATCGAAACGAAGTAGAAATAAATGAAAAAGAAGGAGCTGAAGGCGAATGTAAAGAAGGAAACGAAGAGGACGCTGATATAATAGATAATCTTGAAAAGTGGCTCAGCGGAAACTCTAAAGAAGGGGAAGACATAAAAGAAGAGGGAGAAAAAGTAAAAGAAGAGGAAAAGGAAATTGAGAAAGAAGAAAAAGATGATGGTAAAACACAAGAATCAGTGGGAAAAGATGACGAGCAAAAGAAAGAAGTAGATAACGATGGAGTAGAAGGCGAAGAAGGAAACAAAGAGGCTGCTAATAGAATGAAAAGCCGTGATAGCATAAGCCAGGGGCCTATTATGGAAGAGCCTAAAGAAGGAAAAGAAGAAGCAGTAAAAGAAAAGAACAAAAAGTTTGAGGAGAAAGAAAAACAAGAAAATGAAAGGGTTGACGAAAAAGAAATTTATAAAATAGGAGAGAGAGAAATGGAAAAGGAGGAAATGGAAGTTTCAATTGGAGAGGATGAAGAACAAAAAGAAGCAGTAGAAGAGCAAGAAAAGGAAGCGGTGGGAGGAGAAGAAGGCAGCGAAGAGGCGGTTAACAGAACGGAAAACCATGGAAGTGTAAACCAGGCGCCAAGTCCCGAAGAGCCGCTTAGCAGGAACCTTAAAGCAGGAAATGAAGACGGACGAGTAGAAGAAGAAGGAAAAGAAGAAAGCGGAAGGGTTGAAGAGAAAGAAATTGGGAAAATAGAAGAGGACGAAGTGGCAGAATCTATTGGAGAGGACGAAGAACAAAAAGAAGATGTAGAAAGGCAAAAAAAGAAAGGAGCGGTAGAAAAGGAAGTGACTGCTAACGGAATGGAAAACCATGCAAGTGCAAACCAAGCGCCAAATCTAGAAGAGCCTTATTGCAATGATCCTACAGAAGGAGTTACCGCGGAAGAATGTGATGCAAGTGATGACAGTACTATTCCTCGTGACCCCGATTTTGATGTACGAATTGTTGAAGAGAAACAAAATAGTGTGTGCATCGACTGGACACCATCACCCGAAGCTGAAGTATACAAAATCGAAAAATTTCACCGCCGACGTGGCTGGGAACAAGTGGCTCGGTACGCATGAAACTGTGAAAACAAGGAATTTCTTTAATAGATGAAATACATTTTTTTTTCAGGGTTGGATACGCTCCAACCACCGTCAGTGATTTAGCTGAGAATTTCACATATCGGCTGCGCATCAAAGCACAACGCTTCTGTGAGGCGCGTGGTCTATTTGAAGACTACAAAATGTCGCCAGATTTCTTGGTATACTTTTTTTTGAACTTTGAAAATCTATAAAACTCTAAAGAATTTGCACTTCAAAAATTTCAGGTCACCACATTGTCGCCGCTGCCCACCACACTAAGTCTACACCGCGCTATTAAGAAAGGTCAGCAGTTTCTGGTGAAGCGCATTTTACGACGCCGACCCAGCCTATTGGAACACCCTGGGCCCAATGGCTATTTGCCGCTGGCGAATGCTATCATCGACGGTCAAAACAGCGTCATCGATGTGCTGCTGAGTCATGGCGGCAACGTGCAAATTGGCAATCCGCTTAATGCACGTACACCGCTGCAGGTGCGTGTATGCGAATTACAATAGTTTCACTGCAGGAAAATCCACTAATTTCGCATTGAAGCGCCTCAAGTACATTTGAACAGTGCTTAATTTGTGTTCATGTTTTTGAAGTGTTGGCTTCCTTGCAGGATTTTGGTAACACTGCAGCATTTGCAATAATCAGTTCACCTCGTTTAAGGCATAATTAATTTTGCACACCTCTATTTCTTCCATCACTCTACTCTTTGTCCGCCACTCCCTCTCCCTTCTCGCACGCAGCTTGCATTCTATTATGGCCGTTTGGCGGTGGCACGCATACTGCTAAATCGCAAGGCGCAACTTGAGGCAGTTGACATTAATGACATGACTGCTTGTCACTTTGCCATCGACGCTAATCAATTGGAGTTGCTCAGATTTGCGCTTGAGAATGGCGCCAACGTAAACGCAACAGACGCTTGCGGCTGGTCATTGCTGTCACGTGCAGGTGAGTCTCGCTTAAGCTCGGAGCGATTAAGTCAGGCTGTTACATCAAATTTGCATTTACATTTCATCGTTTATATGTAGTCGTAATGGGCTCGGATGTTTGTGTTTTGAAGCTGCTGTTGACACATGGTGCAGATCCTAAGTCGAAGGATAAGATGGGGAAGACTTGTGTGGATTTGGCGAAAATATACGAGAACACAGTTGCCACAGACTATTTAGCTAAAGCGTTGCGCTCAAAGTAATGGACTTGGCTATTAACTAAAGTTATTTGTAACCAAACGGAAGGTTAAAGTGGTTTTTAAAAAATTAATTGTTTACTTATATTAACTTTGTACAAGTGCACGACTTATCTACTCAATCCCGACCAATATGTCCCCGTTGGCGCAAAGCGGTAACCAACTCGTGTCCAGTCTTGGGTTACCGAAAAAAGCGCCACCATAAGCTGCGTATGCTAGCGGATGTCTCTCTCGGAACAAACAACGCGGTTCATAAACGTGTAACTTAGTCAAACAAAAACTAATTTAAATTAAAGATACAAAAATAAGCCTACAACGGGAACGCAGAAATCGGTGACTTAATGGCAAATGTCCAGGGCGTACTTAAATTATTTGCCGATTTCAAAGTCGCTTTCAACAGCACGAAAAGAAGTTGCGGCATAAAAGTTGTCTGAATTTGCTACCGCTGCGAAACTAATACGGCTAGGAAATATTAGTTTGGAAGTACCTCACCGAGCCGTTCGATACGAAATGAGGTTTCAGCCAGAGCGACCTCTTCAATCTGATGACGAAGAACATAATTAATAATAATAAGGATTGGTATTAGATAGTGTTTACTCATATACGATAAATCAAGACGAATTCATATAAGATGATGTTAACAGAGCAGCTAGATTTTCGCCTCGGTGGTTCTTAATGTAAAAGTTATGTATTTGTTGTTATTTGAATCGAACGAATTTAATTTTAAATTTAAAAAGCGAGCTTGTTACCAATTGCCGTAATCTCAAAAGGAAATTTTGATTCGAAATCGATTCGATCCCGGATACCGTGATTCACGCCCTATAAAAATTTAAAATTTTTTGACTAAAATTAGATGTGAACTTTCGTTTTTCAATCAAACACAAAACACGTATTGCAAACGAAAAATATTTATATAAACAGCTGGTACAGGTCAATTTCACTTTTAAATTGGTTATAGTCAGAGTTAGATTTTCGTATTTATTTTAGGTTTGGTGGATTACAAAATTAATATATATTGCGTTCAATACCTTTTCGTTCTTTCTGGAAAATATTGGTAGATTTTTAGCCTTTGTTTGTAAAAATGGTAGAAAATAAAATGCAGCTAAAAACCTGGTAAGTAAAATGTTGCAAGGAAAACGTAAACAAGTTGCACCAGTGTGACGTCATGCAAACAACGATTCTGTCAAATTCGTTAAGAGAGGAATAGCGGTCCGAGATCGGCGCAACCTTTGTATTCTCTCAATCGTGGGTAATTTTATAAGTAGAGTGCTCTCTTGTCGAACAAGAACACCCAATGGTACAAATGTGGCATAGAAGCAATCACAACTTCCAGTGAGGTGGATTTTTGAGTATTTGAGAGAGAGAGTGAGATTATGTGAGAAATTTACGGGCCTTTTTGCAGTGCCGAATAGTACAGATATTGGAGCCAAGAGCTCAATTAGGTTTACAACGATTTCAATATAGTGCAGCAAATTAAAATTAGGAGGCGCCGCTCGATTTGTGATGTCTCTGCGAATGGGCACAAACGCTGCAGGTCTGAAAGCCTCTAATTGAAGCCCAGCACGGTTGGAAATTTTCGACTAATTTTGTGCAAAAATGGCTGGAAGTCATTAACAAATCGAATAATATTTTTTTTTTTAATTCATAGAAAGAATTTTAGTAAAGGTTGTCTAGGGCTGTATTTTTATCAGCATAAGGAGAAATACAAATTTTTTTAACCCTAAGACTATAAGTAATATGTATTTGGTGACAAATTTCATATTTTAAAGCCAGAATAAAGGTTTTTGAGGTCGTTTTGGAATTCAAAATGGCTGACTCAATAGCGACTGCTGTAAAAAAAAAAAACAAATTATTATACCGGACAAATATTTTTCGACTTTCTCTATATGCTGATAAAAATACAACTTCTTAAAACAAAAAAAAAAATCCATTCGGTAAAAATTTACTATTCCAGCCGTTTTTAAACAAAATGTGGCAAGAACTTCCCTCTGTGCGATAGAAAGAAAAGGCGCAGGAGGATTTAGCTTATGGTAATTGACTCGGTTTTTCCAAACCGGTTTCAACATGATTTTTAGACGTCTGGATTTTTCGAATACCGGAAGCCGGATTTTTGTAATGGAATAAACCGAATTTTTAATTTGTTTATATAACGAATCTGAAAAGTCTTTATATTTATTTTATTGATAATGAAACTACAGAGAACATTTTTATAAATTTTATATCTGAAGACTGAAGTTTTTTTTTATTGTAGAATTTTTTTTAATGACGTGAGTAGGTATGTAAAGAGGTGGTTGGTGTCGGTGAGGCATCTTAAAGCATAGATAGACGGCAACGTTGATCCGGATTAATAAATTAAATAATGTAAAATTAAATAAAACAAAAGAAAATAAAATAAAGTAAAATAAAATATGTATGTACATAAATGTATGTATGTATGTAAAAAAAAAAAAAAAATAAATAATAAAATAAAATTTATGACTTCTGACTAACACTAAGTGTTGATATAGAGAAAATATAAGTATGTAAAATAAAACCGCGTTTTTCTTCATATAAAAATGGGGAACCAATTTTTTCAAATTGGCATTTTTCAAATAACTTGGAAACCGGTTTTATAAAAAAGGCGAATAATCGAACACCTTAAATTGGCTTCACTTGGCTTAAGTTGGCGCAGAAAAGAAAAACGACTGGCTTACTCTATTGGACGCCAATCCAGAATCTTCTCCAATTATATTTTATACTACGTGGTCATCCCTGGTAATGAGTTCAGTGATTTCTCAACCGATTTCAGCATCAAATTAAATTTCCGAAGCTGTTTGATGCTTATCAGAAAATATGGTATTGGTGCTATTTATTACTTGTTTCATGTTTTATAATAAATATGAATACTGAAATATACCACGAACAATAATAAACTACTAAAAAGCTTATCAGCAATGGGAGCAGATCGACGTAGAGGAAGCGAATCTTTCGCCGTTTGATTAGTTTGCTCTTGTAGATTAGCGCAGCAGCATGTCATCGGCGCGCTAACTTGGTTTGCATAGTGCCAACGTTTATAAATTACTAGCCCTTCTAATAACAAAATAGTGAAATTTTCACTTCAAAACTATAACCACTTTGAACATAAAATATACTGAACTGGCGAAGTTGTTCGTTGCAACTAAAAATTGTTAAAGTTTCTGACACAAATCCAATTCGGATTTTGCGCAAAGTGTTGACCAACGAATTGTGGTTTTGAAGCGGCAAAGTTTTCAGTGACTTGTGACGAAGAGTGAGCTACATATTTATTAACTATTTATGTGACATTGACAAGAAAGTTAGTTAGTTTTGTGGTTCATAGAAATGTTTGCGCTTGGCATGGACATGCATCGTGGCCATCGTCATCGTCATCAGCATAGTCGACGGCAATATTTCATGCTCCTCTTATCGCTGCTCGCGCTAGTTTTCAGTTTTGTATGCTTGCCAGTGAGCGCACAAGAGTACGAATATAATACTTATAGACATATTAGCAAAGTGCGTCAAAAGCAGCTTGAAAATCTTGCCACACGTCTACATGCATCCATCAACCACAACAGATTGCCATGCGAGAGCTTCTACGATTATGTTTGTAGTTACAACAATCCACTCTTCACGGTTTTGGGTGAGATGTGAATGACATATTTATACATACATACATAGGTACATATATATATGTTTACATTGTAGGCCACTTACCCGAATTCGCCGAGCTAATGAAGCTGCTCACCGAACTGCAGCAAGATCCCGAGCAATTCGATGCTAAGCAAAAGATGATGGACTTTTTTATTTCCTGCAACTCTAAAAAAGCAATCGAAGACTGCTATCGCGAGACATTTGAGTACTTCAAACCACTCTTCGGCTATATAATAAGCAAAAATCACATAAGCCCCAACTCCGTGGAACACCATAACTTCCTAAATTTACTCGAGAATTTTCTCTACAAAGCAGCGCAAACTCACAACTTCATGCATCATCCCATTCGTCATCGCCTACTCACGCTGAGGGAGAAATTCCGACTTCCACACATCTATTTTCGACCACACGAGCTGAGTCATGAGTACGAGTCGTTGCGTGTCTATCGTGAAAGTTACAAGCACAATGTACGCAATTTGGAGCTGCATCGCCGCCGCAACTCCACCTACGAGTTGGGCGTTGAACGCACCATGCTGGACTGGACGCTTTATCTCTATCAGAGTCGCAACATGCCCATGTCCTACTACTACCCAACACTGAATGTACACTTGTGGATGACACTGTACAACACGACCGAGCGCGATCGTGAGCCGAAGCGTGTACACGAGTTGGCTGAGTGCCTCAAGTTGCCGCCGTACGTGCACGTCTTGGATGAGGCTCGCGTCTTGGCTGTTGTCTATCTGAAGGCATTTCAAAATGCTTGGGTGGATTACAGCGACTGGACTAAGCCTGATCGAGCAAGCATAAATAATGAAGTCTACGATAGTGAGAATAGAATACTTGGCGCATATGATTTGGATAATAAGAAAGTCTTCTTCATATTATATGCACAGAACTTTTGTGAGTTTGGCAAGGAACTGGCTGAGAATATATTCTACCTGGGTATGAAGCAAAATCGTGATTTCGCCGATAGTTTCGACTGCGTATTCTCGCGTGAGCCACGAATGCCGTGTTATGTGTGATATGCGAGAGCTTACGCTGAGTTTAAGTAAGAAAAAGAGCAATGTTTAAACACTTAATCAAATTAACCAACATTTTCAAAGTGCGAGTGTTTTTAATACAAAAAAATTATAATCTGAACTAAAGTTTTCTTTTACCATAAAAGTCGAGCAACTCCTGCAACCCTGGTGCATAGTTTTGAGATAAAGGAACCTTGCAATTTTTTACCGCCTTCGAAGGACAACCAGTTTTTAATGCGGCACCTTTTTACGTCTGAAATAACTAGACTCAAAGTTTTACGTTTGACTGCAGAGGGCGGATCGCTGTAAAAATTCCTTTCCGAATTCTCCGGTTTCTTGGCTCTTACCCGGCTAAGTCTTATGTATATGAGCGCATTATTAAGTGAAAAATTTGTTGTTGAATATCACCCCTCGGCATTCAAGAACCTCTAGAATTTAGTTCTGAATTCAATAAGCCTTCCTCAAAATGATAAAGTTCCAAGGGCACATTAGTAAGCTATTTACCTAGAATTTGACTGTACAGTGCAATGTGAATGCCAGATTTAAATTTACCGATGGTATAAAACACTTGGCTAAAGTTGTCCTGCCAATGCAAAAAGGTTAAAAATATGGAAACCACTATTATATATAAGACGCAGAGAAATGGTGGAATGTTATATCCTGCCAAATAGTACCTCTTGCAATAGATCTTCTTGCTTCATATAACATATAAGAGATAAAAGTCTTAACGTACCTAGTGCTAATGGTGATCTAGTTTCTTCCAAAAAATATAGCCATCTCCCGGTGCAAAATGTGTTTGCTGTTACACTCAGCTTGGTAAAAAGGCATGTTTTTGCCTTCTTGTCCTTGTCTAGCTCATGCATTTAATAGATAATATTGTCGTTTTAAACAACCATATAATGGTTGAGAATGTGCCTTTTTTGCCTTGCAAGAGTGTGACATTTTAAGAAACGAACACACAATTTTCTCACCCTTTGCCTTTAGTTTAGAATCGAACAGGAAAAGAGAAAGGGCAATCAAAAGGCAAAATTTTTTGGTAGAAACGATATCACCAAAAATAGCAGATGATTTAAATACACTCAGGAATAACTTTCCTTGATGTTAGGAAAAAAGTTTATTATTCTAAGGAAATGTTACCTTGAAATGGCTCAGTTTAAGGAATATACATTCCTTAGTTTTTAGGAAAAATCTACGCGCCATTTCATCCCCGCGAAAGGAATAAGTATGTCATTTGTTCGTGGCGCTCAAACAGTGGCAATGGCCGACAGAGCTAAGCTCTGAAGTGCTAGTTGGATTTTCCATATATGAAATTAATTTTACAATTTGTAATTTATATTTAAATTGAAATAATTGACTTACCGTACTCTAACCACCTCCAAACGGGTTCGAACCTGCGATCTCAGAATCAGAAGCAGTAGTCTTCATCACCGAATTGCCAGTAAAGCAATTCACTTTGTTTTAACAGCACTGACCAAATTTAAAATTATTTAAGGAAATTATTACTTTATTGAGGAAATTATTACTTATATCTGAGTAAATTTACTTCCTCAAATGAATGAGCCCCTATTTTTAGCATGAACTTGAATTTAGGAAAAACTTCTCAAATTCAGTAAATTTTTGTAATATTAAAGAAAAAAC